TGAACTTTTGGCACAGCATTTCAAATTTATGATTTCAGTCTAATAACTACACACACCGGAAAAATCTAGGGATATCATTTTATTAAAGTTAAAAATAAATGTTTTGAATAAACAACCACATATTTGTAGACCGATTCTTTCTACTTCGATTGAAACGAAGTAGTCACACTAGTTATTTCTAAATTTGGGATATTTGCAGAAGTGTTTGTGCATTTTTTGTCAAATGTATAAAAAGCACCTAGCATCAATTGTTCGAATTGGCTATGTTTTTATGATAACTGGCCAGAATTCATTCAAATAACTCTGTTTAGTAGGTATTAAGCGACATTATGGAGCGTAGACATCTTAACAGAGACGAAATGCTAAGGGCCATGGGTATGCTCGAAGCTGGAATGCGCCAAATCGACGTAGCTAGAGCATTAAATACAACGCAAAGTGTAATATCGCGATTAAGTGCACGCTACCGTGAAAGTGATGATGTTGCTGAAAGGCACACAGGGCGACATCGCATTAGTAGCCCTCAGCAAGATCATTTTTTATAATTAAATGCTCGACGCCGACCGACTCTTACAGCACCAGAGCTTAGTTTAATTCTCCAGGAAACACATAATGTAACCGTTAGTCCTGACACTGTTCGCAATAGATTAAGAGAGGTCAACTTAAGAAGCAGACGCCCCTGGATAGCTCAACCCTTAACGAGAGGAAATCGAGAGGTACGATATTTGTGGGCTCAAGATCATGTTCAGTGGTCGAATGAACAATGGGCCAATGTTCTCTTCACGGATGAGTCACGCTTTGGAATTCATCCGGATTCGAGAAAGCTTAGGGTATGGAGAGAACCGGGAAATCTTATTCGGTTGGATCATGTTCAGGAAGTGCACCCTTATCAAGATGGAATAGTTATGGTCTGGGGAGGAGTCCAGTTAGGCCGAAAAACCGATCTCGTTTTTCTTGAAAGGTTTCTAACAGGAATCACATATCGTGATTTAATTCTTGAGCCTGTCGTGTTACCATATGCCAATGATTCTGGGAGAAACTTTATTCTCATGCATGACAATGCACGGCCTCATACAGCCAGAGTGGTAACTGAGTTTATCAATGCTCACCAATTAAACATCTTACCCTGGCCGGCACAATCTCCTGACCTCAACCCCATCGTGCACGTATGGGACGCGGTCCAAAGAAGAATTTTGAGAATGGGTATGCCTCGTGAAACTCGTGGGTATCTGGTTCGGGCCGTGAATGCAGCGTGGCAGGCTGTACCTCAAGAAGAGATCGACAACCTGATTAGGAGCATGGAGAGACGATGTAGGGCTGTAATGAACAGTAGAGGAGGCTATACCCTTTATTAAGTAAAATTGGTTTTATCTTTTTTTTTAATTCACAGTTTAGAATAAAAAAAAATGTGTGTATTTTTTTGAGTTCAATAAAAATCAAGGTAAATGTGAAAAATTCGGTAAATTTCGCATTTTTATTTCCAATACGTCCTGTAAACTATTTGTTTATTTTAATTTTATTATATCAGAAATGCAAATAATAAAATTACTGACGATCGATGGCTGGATAAAATTGTAATATCCCTAGACTTTTCCGTTGTGTGTATTTAATCAACATGTTTAATTTACGCCAATAATGACAGGTATTGATAATTTTGATTCCATATCTCGAGAACCATTACTCGTAGAAATTTTTACTAAGACACTTTTTATGTAAAAAACGTCGTAAATGCTTGTTCTTTTACCCAGTTGTTTTATGTACCTATATGGAAACAGGACGAAAAGTTATTACTCTTCAAACCAGTTAAAAAGTATGTGGTGGCGCCCTCTAGAAGTAGGAGTCATATTGACATGAACATCAAATTTCTCATTTCAAAAATTCCAAAGCTATCCATTCCAAAGCTGCTGGAGAACCCTCCAGAAAGTCCCTCCAGTCTTCACCACGCACTCTCTAGTTATGTGATGGACGGTTTGGTGAGAGGATCCGCAATCACATTCTAGGGAAGGTATTTTAATCCACTTATAAAGGGAATCCATCTTCCATGGCCAGAGCGTATCCTATTCAAAGTTGCCCAGGTTTTCCGGTTTAGATCGGTACTCGGTATCTGGCAATAGTTATTTTCGAACCAGGAGTATAGATGCGCATCGGCTATTTCCCACCATAACTGAAGCCACTGTTCTCGACAATTATTGTAGTTGCTGCTCTTTAGTTGTCCAGCTGTTCGCAAAGGTGTATTTCTCGACTTCTGTCAATCACCTGTAAAGCAGAAAGTGTGCTATGAACAGGGAGCGTTGGGGTAGCTATTATTTTATCAAATTATCTAAAAAGAGCCTCTTTTCTGCGTAGATTTGGAGGTAGAATGTTACTCAAAACTGGAAGCCAGTAACTAGGTGTGGATTGTCCCTGTAATCAGCCGCATGGTGTTGTTCAGCTGTCTGTCTATGAGATTTGTGTGGTGGCTGTTCAACCACACTGGTGTACAATACTCTGCCACAGTGAATACCAGACCAAGGGCATAGATCCGAAGTGTTGTTGCTTTTGCACCCCAAGCAGTACAACAAAATTTTTGTACAATATTGTTTCGTGTTCTGATTTTCTTCTTCTTCTTCGTACGTTAGGAGCAAGTCCTGTATTTTCTTCAATAGTTCCCTAAGAACAGTTGGGATGATGAAGACCAGCTTTCATACCATCTTATAGGTGGCAGTCTCGGCAGTCGCGGCGTGTTTACCAAGCAAGTTCTTTTTACTAGCAACATTTTCTAGGTGTTTTCGAAATGAGAGTGTACGGTTTAGAGTAATCCCAAGATGTATTAATTAATAAAGGCTTTATTTATTTATTTAAAATGACAGCCACTAGCGAAAAGCTAGTTACACCACTGGATTCTACATCAAAAACTCTATAGAACTTAGTTTTCATCAATTTGATAAATTATAAGGGTCGAAAAATGCAACGTCTTAAAAAAACTTGAAATCTAAAGGATATTATGAAATTGAGTTGGCAACACATATTAGTTACCTATCAAGTATCTCTTCCTATTCCTTCATCATCAGTAGGTACCGCGTCGAAACGAATTCGTTCTTAAATTTACTGCGATCCGATTCGATCGATGCGATCATTATACAGTGAATTAGCGAGGCGCAAATGGCCTAGTTAAACGATTATATAAAATGGAATTATTGGTTAGAAGCAGATAAATGCAATATCGAAAATCCAATTATTTACGTTCGGGCTACCGACCGACGGGGGACCGGAATGGGGACCACGGGGTGGAAAAAGGGGGCCGGCCGGCGAAATGGTGTGCGAAAACGACAAATAAACCGTTTTCGGGGTTGCGAAATTCGCCGCCCGTTAATTTGTTTTCACCGGCGCCGTTTTGCGAACTAGATTATTATTAGGTCGCGTAATGAGAACCTCGATTGAAAACCTAAAAGGCAAATTGACCTGCGTTATCATTTTTTGGCCTGCACGTTGGTTTGGTTAGGAAACATTAAAAAATAAATATTTAGTTTTTTAAACTTTCTTTGTTATTTAATGAAAAAATAGTCCTAAAATATTTAATTTTATTATTTTGATCTGATCTTCTGCGACCTTTCAGATCAATTGTGATCCTCTTCTGATCTTTAGGTTACATTCTCCAGTCCTATCCTTTTTAAAGTCCTTTTCAAAAAATCTAGAATAAGACCGAACCTGAGACGGGACCATGATATTCGGAAATTAGCAGGGATAACTTGGGCCCGCATAGCCAACAATAGATAACAATGAGAGTATCTACAAAGAGAGTATCTAAATATGTGTGGGAGGCTACACCATAATTGGAAATGGTTGAATAAGCTGAAAATGATGATGATAATAATGAGGTTTACTAAAAATAATTTCTTGAAAACTTGAGAAATGAGAGAAAAGTATTAAGAAAATAAATTGTGTAGACTATGACTCCAATGTTTTCAATGAAACTAATAAGTGCATCTTTTATACTAATCTATATCAATATAGGTACTGATACATAGTTCTTAATTTGTGTTTGATAGTAATCTTTTTCATGGCTCTTAAGTGATTTAGTATTGTTTAGGTGTCTATAATGGTCAGGAGAACCTTTTTTTGTTTGTCTAACGTCTAACGTCTAACCACCAATAATTGCTAGTTCATTTAGCGTTATCCAGGGTGCACCACGGGGAGGCGAACTAGCTTTACACCCCTTTGTACTGAGTCATATCCCACCCCAAGTCTGCTCCACATAAACGCTCTGTGCACAGAGTTTAACAAGATATTGGACAACAGAGAACTACCAATCCATACAGATATCGAGGATGCTAACCACAGCCGCCTCACAACCAAACCACTCACAAAGAAGCATTTTTCCGAGACGTTCGTTTTAAAGCAGCGTATCTCCAAAAAAAGAGTGATAATGTCGTGATTAAAAAAACAAAATGCTCACAAAAGATGAGGCTACAATGTGATTTGATTTAGCAATAACTACTACAGCTGCTGCACCCTACAGGGTGTTATAAAGTTCGGACAAAAAACTTCGTCTTATTGTTGTGCCCTGTATATGCTCAAAATAAATTCGGAATAAAAATTGACGTAGCATCCGTTAAGAACGAATTAATTTAAAGTAAATAAATTACAATTTAAAAAAAAATCATCAAAATCTAATGAGTGGTTCGCGAGAAATCCAACTTTGAAATTGGGACTAGTTTTTAATTGCCGGTTTTTTTGCCGGTGAGTTTATATTTTTCCATATTAATTTTTCTCTTTTACAAAATTATTATTTCTATCGTCACAAACTGGGGTTTCCATGGTTTCCGTTAATTAGTTTTCATCTTGGTATTGAATCTATAGGTATACTTCAATATTTTTACGATATTTACTCATTTTCTTCTTAACAATATTGACATTTATGGCAGATTTAAAATTATTATAATTATATTAAAAAAATACGCATTATTAGACATGACAATAGAAAAAAATATGAAATAGTCAATGTTTGTTTTTATTATTTTCAGAGTCCCCGTCAATCAGACTCAGATTCAACAGACAGCGGCGGAGGCGGACACATTAGCGGCGACGAGGGGGATGGTCACTCAGTGACGTCACCTACACCGCCGCCCAGGACGCCCGTCCAATTGAACCCGGCCACCCTGCCGCCCAACATGACCTCGGTGGACGTGGCCTTGGCCTTGAGCGCGCTCACTGGCGGGGGTGCGGGTCAGAGGACGCCGCCAGGAGCGTCCCATTTGCCTTTTTACGCGCCTAGTATGCTCACGCCCAGCTGGTGAGTAATTAGATGCACTAGTTATCTTAATTATCATAATGCTTTTTAAGAATCGTCCTAAAAAGAATCAGAATTCCAAATCATCAAATAGTAAGTTTAAAAACATTGTAGATTCTATGTGAGGGGGAAACTTAATCCCTGTCATTGTAGCTCTATTCTGTTCCCTTTTCTTGAGTTAGTTATAATTCCTTATACAGTCTCATGGCCTTAACAAAAGCCAGAATGTGGAACGGTTTTGCAGAGGTTAGTTCTCCATCTCCGCTGTCAGTCGTACCAAAGATTATGGCACAAATGTTTGTCGTCTTGGCCCATTCAGTGATGAGGTATTCTGGTGTTTCTCCATTTTCCCCACAGAATCTGCATTCGCCGTTGTTTTTTAGCTTCAATATACTGAGGTATTCATTGAGGAGAGAGCGTCCTTTTAAAAACCCTGTGACAATCCCCAGATCGTTATTACTTAATTCAAAGAAAATCTCTGATTTTTCTCGATCGTAAGTTCTGAGGAATTTCTTCGAGTGTCTTAGACCGTTGAAGGATTTCCATTCCAGGTTACGGATGGAGTCTTTCAGGTTCTGGAGTTCCGCTTAAGTTCGTTTCTACTTGGGAAGCAGAACGCTTCTGGTTCAGTTAGTGGACTGGTCGCTCCTTTTCTAGCTAGATCGTTTGTTTTTCATTGCCTTTTTTCCCTTGATGGGCTGGCACCCAGAGTAGAAGGACTTTATTTTCTTTGTCTAATTTGTTCAGATTCTCTAGGCATTCTTTGACCAACTTCGAATTGATGGTTACTGAGTTGATCGCTTTTAAAGTCTTATAAGCGATCATAAATAATAATCCTCTAATCGGATAAGATGGCTATTTCTTGTTTCCGATAGCTATCTAAGATGTTGTACGCATCTTTTAATAGCATAGATTTTGATATACGGTGTATTTAGTTTTCGGCCCAAATACTACTATCCCTGCTTCCTATTCCCGCTTTGGTTTTGGAAGCATCAATTGTTTATACCACGTTATGGTATGGTATTTTACCTGCTGAACAAACGTTTCTCTCTTCCAATCTTATTTTTTTATGGCTCAATACTATCATTTTTGGTTTGCATTATAGTACGTTCTTGGTATATCAAGGGATAGGTTTAGAGCGCCACTGACTTTGGACGGAGAAAAATCAGGAGTCTAGGAACTGATTGCTCAATTGAGGCTCTTGTCGAGACATAATTTCCAAAATATCAATTGATGTTAAAAAATCAATCAAAAGTTTGGCCGCATCACACTACTGGTTTTCATTTATAATTGAGTAAGCATTTTATTCACACGATTAAGCAGGTGGGCTATCTAGATTGTGATTAAGGTCGATTGAAAGAAATTTGTTGAAAGTTTTCTTCCCATGGTAGTGTACTAATATATTCATTAACCTCATCTAATAGCATACGAATTCCTTATTCCTTCTTTTCTTCGTCAAACATATTGTAAGAAGACTCGAAAGCTCAACGTTACAAAGTTTCTTTGAATAGTGATATTAATAGAATTTCGAAGTTTCAAAGTTCCAAATCTTATAATATCATATCATTTACAAAATTTCAATATCAATAGGCCAATGCAAAGATCTATTTTATATCTTGGGGTATAAAGTTCCGTATATATAAGGATATATAGGGATCAAAGATCTTCCTGGATTTAAGTAAAAACAATCTTCGGATTGTCACGGGGTTTTTAACAGGACACTGTCTCCTCAATTGAATTTGATTGAAACTAAGAAGAAACGGCGAATGCAGATTCTGTGGGGAAAATGGGGAAACACCAGTACACCTCATCACTGAGTGCGCCGAGACAACAACCATTCGTGCGTTTTTTGGTACGACTGATATTGGAGATGGAGAACTACCCTCTATAAAACGGTCCAAGATACAGGCTTTTGTCAAAGCCCTGGGACTGTATGATGAGTTATAACTCAAGAAAGGGGGACACAATAGATCTGTAAGGTCGCAGTGATTAACCCCCATCCCGTTCTTTCTAAAAAAAGGTCAACCTTGTAAATATCAACTAAAATACATAATTTGGTTTAGTTCATAATATTCTTTTTTTCTCTCCTGGTCTACAGGGTTTTTTTTGAGGGGGTGGTAAAAAACATTTTATAGGCGAGTGGTGTTCGTTTCCATTACCATCTCGAGAGGGACGATCATAGAGACGAACCCCAAACAGTGTGGGAGTCGAATTGTTACCCACTAAAAAAGTCCACCTCCGGGGAGTCCACTTCCTCTCCTTCCCCTTACCCGGAACTGCCGCATGGCATTACTTCGGGTTCATACGTGATCTTGGGGTTTTTATCTTATCTATGTTATTTTTTTTATCTATATTCTATCCTATTTATTTTTAGGATACTTCCGCATTTCTTGCCTTTTCATCTTTACCTTTCTCTATTATTATTTCTTTCATAAATGCCCCTACCTTTCCCCATATTTCTCTAGTTTTGGTCATTTTCATAATCAAGATGATCATAATCCGAAGTTAACATTCCTACATCCGACAATAAGACAGACCTTCCGTTTTCCCACCTTGGACAGCAGAACAACGTAGGCTCGCCATCGTCGATTTCGTCGCAGTACATGCAGTTGCCATTTGGTATTTTCTTTATTCTGTGCAAGAAGTCCATGAAGACTCCATGTCCGGAAAGAAACTGCGTAATGTAATAGTCCACGTCTCCGTGTTTCCTACTTGTCCAGTCCTCCACGTTGTGTATTAACTTTCTAGTCCACCTTCCTTTGTCGGATGTATCCCACTCCTCTTGCCATTTTTGATAGATACCTCGTCGTTGCTGTTTTTTCACCTCATCGTTAATCTCTGCTTTGACATATAACTCTCGCTTTTCCTCAGCAGCTAAATGCAGCGGGATCACCCCAGCTAAAACCAATACGGCATCTGTTGATATCGTACGATACGCTGAACAGATCCTTAGGGCCATTTTTCTCTGTGTGGAAAGCAATATATTTTTCGTCCGTTGGAATTTTAGTGCCTCGACCCATACAGGAGCGCCGTATAGAATTATATTTTGCATTGATACCGCAAGAACTTTTCTTTTTTTTTGAGGAGGGTCCTTTTAGGTTCGGAAGTAGTCCACATATAGCTTTGACAGTTCTGTTTGCTTTTCCGCAAGCATCTTTTACATGTTGACTGTAAGTTAGCCCTCTATCTAGTTTCACCTATCTTTGTTTTTCGGTTTCGAAGAATAGCAGTTGTATTCTCCGGCGCAACTTCCAACTGGTTTTGATTCATCCACCAGTATATATAATGTAAAGCCTCTTCGGTTTTGCGTATCATTCCTTCGGAGGTTTCAGCTGTGGTTAATAAAGCCAGATCATCTGCGTAGCAGATTATTTTTACCCCTTAAGGTACCCTTATTTCCATTACGTCATCGTAAAGGATGTTCCAAAAGGTAGGACCCAAAACCGATCCCTGGGGTACGCCTCCCCCAACCTTTTCTTGGTGGTCTTTATCCAAGTTTACAGTACGCTGTGTAAAATATGATGTTATAATATTTATAAGATATGGGCTGATGTTTCTTCTTGCTAACTTTGACAATATTATAGGCCATGCTGCCATATTAAATGCATTTCACACATCTACTAGTATCAACAAAGATCAGCTGTATTTATTGTTGTGACTTTTTTTATGAATCCAAACTGATTATGGTTAAACCCACCTTTATTTTGTATTTCTTCCACTAATCTATTCTTTATTAAATTTTCATATACTTTGGCGATTGCGTTAATCAAGCAGATTGGACGGTATTTAGTTTCTTCTACCTTCATTTTTTTGGGCTTGTCTATGAGAATTAATTTGGAACTTTTCCAAATATCGGGAAAATCGCTATCATTTAAAAGTTTATTAAACACCTCCAAAAAGTATTGCGAGTTATTTCGGATGATAAATTTTATAACTTCTGGTGGTACTCCGTCGGGGCCTGGGGCTTTTCCACTTTTTAATTTCTCGGAAGCAACTGAGAGTTCGTTTAAGTTAAATCTTTTGTAACTATTGTTTTGGTCTTGTTTATACATATTCAGATTTATACCTTTAGGAGGCATAAAGAGATCTCGAAAAATGGCCGACTTCTCTTCAATTTGTAAGGTCGTCTTTTTTGTAAGGTGGTCTACAGGGTGGTGCATCGTCGTTGGAAACATAGGAAATTACATGCAAATTTTGAACTGTCCAGTTATTGACTCCCCTGTGAATTTTACAGCGAAGTTGTAAATAGGTTTTTAAAAGGCCTGCGTATGCTGAATAAACATGCCAAATTTGAACAATTTTGGATAAGCCGATTTTAAGTAATTTAAGAAAAAGTGCATCTATTTTTAAATTAAAACTGATCAGGTAACAATGAAAAACCAGGCAGATACAAAGATAATAGTACCTTAAGTTGTCATCATATAATTTTATCAAACGACGATGCACCACCCAGTATAGGAACTTGATAGGCGCGAAAATATTAACCCTTAGACTTCTTCTTTATCTAGGACCTTAATAAAAAAAATACCATTAAATATATCGGTGATTTTACCTATATCTAATATTTTGGTTTAGGTACCTTGCCAATGTAGCCCGTCAGTTTCAAGCCACCCCTCCCTCAGCCGATGTCATAGACAAAAATTGCGGTAGCGGAGAACAACCTCTGGATCTCAGCAAAGGGTCCAGCAATACCACAGCAAACAACCTATCGTCGTCGGAACCCAAATCGAGCATTGTCAACAATGTCCGGATACCGACGCTGGACCCCAAACAGATATTCAAGTAAGTTTCAAGTTCTTGTTTTACTTTAAAACATTAGCAAAACTATTAATATATGCAAACCAAAAATTAATATAAATACTGCTCATAAGATGTCTTTATACCAAATTTTAAATATCTACTGAATTATAATTTATTAAATAACGAATAAAATATTTATTAGTATAAGTACCATATTACCATAATAAGGAGAGTGTAAGTATCCCAAGAAGTATCAAAATATTACAATTTTTGATGTGATCTTATTTACCTATTTATGGAATCACTATCATCATCATTTTCAGCTTATTCAACCATGTCCAATGATGGTGTAGTTTGGAGCTATAGCTAGTAGCATCACATACTCTCTTTGTTGCCCATTGTTAATTTTCTAATATCATGGTCCCATCTTAGGTTCTGTCTTCCATGTTTCTCACTGTGCTGTAATTGTTGTGGTCTTTTTGTGACACATTGGTCGAATGTTTCCTTCTTTAGATAGAGTGCCATTCTAGATTTGAATATGATTGAGTTTGTTCCATAAGTGCTCCATGATAACTTAATTCTTCTATTAGTTTCTGGTAGTAGAGATCGTGAGCTGTGTATTAGTTGTCCTAAATATATAATATATTCTTCTACTATTTCCAGTATTGTGTTATTTCTTAGAATATCTTTCCTTTCCACTAATTCGTTGTACATTACTTTAGTTTTTGCTAAATTCGTTTTGAGACCCACTTTATTCCTGGCTGTATTTAGTTCATTCTTCTTAGGATATTCTCTATCTATTTTTAATCCTTAGTTGGTCCAGTCCAGTTGACGGAAGATTTCTTCTAATGTTGCTGTAAACAGCTTGGGGGATATCGCATCTCCCTGTCGTACTACTTTGCCAGTTGTGAAATCTGGTGTTGTTTTATATATCATTACTCTTGCTTTAGCTTCTTTGTATATATTGGCGAGAGTTTCTATATAAGGCCTGTCAATATCTTGTTTCGCAAGGATTTCTATTATTACCCCTATTATCACCCAGAAAAAAAAACATTTCGATTAGCCTTAGCATCACCAACAACAAAGGACAAATCATTTATGAACATAAAGTGTGTTTTTATGTTGTAAAATCCAAATTTTATAGTATATTAGTAGTTTTTGAAAAAAAAGTAATAACAAATTACAAAATGAAATAGAAATTTAATAATAATTAATCAGATAGATTTTTAATAGTACCTTTTAATCATTGTCTTTTGCCTGTAAACTAGCATTGGACAAATCTTAATTTGCGATGATTTAAAATTGTATTACATTTTACTAAAAATAAACGACGACAGGAAAGACAAAATTAAACCATAGGAAAAGTTTAAAGGTAAAACAACTATTACTACTGTATTTTTGTCAGGCAAAAACTACAGTCGAGCTTGGAAAGAAGTAGTATGTAATTACAAATTGTCCCAGGAAATGATTCTTAGTGTATCAGGATGTACTTTTCATCGAAAATGCCATTTCTAGCGGAAGCGGACGGCTACTTCGGTACGATTAAATGCATCGTTCCCGGCATTTTAAACTGTAACCGATCGATGAAGATGGTTCAGTTTAGTTGTCGTGTAAACCCATAGATTGTTTAACTAATTTTATTTATAAATGGATTAATTGTTGTCGTGTAAACCTGTAGATTGTTTAACTAATTTTATTTTTAAATGAACCCATTTACTGAAAACTCTTTGTCTAACTACTTATCTACAGTCATTTTTTTTGTGAGAGGGTAGTAATAAACCTTTTATAGGCGAGTGGTGTTCGTTCCCATCACCATCTCGAGGGAGACAATTATAGAGAACCCCAAACAATGTGGGAGTCGAATTGTTACCCACTAAAAAAGTCCACCTCCGAGGAGTCAGCTCCTCCTCTCCCTTTCCATGGAACCACCGTATGGCATTACTTCGAGTTCGTACGTATTCTTGGGGTTTATATCTTATCTATGTTAATTTTTTTATCTATATTCTATCCTATTTATTTTTAGGATATTTCCACATTTTTTGCCTTTTCTTCTTTTCCTTTCTCTATTATTATTTCTTTCATAAATGCCCCTACCTTTCTCCATATTTCGCTAGGTTTGGTCATTTTCATAATCAAGGTGTCCGAAGTTAATATTCCTACATCCGACAATAAGGACTGTCATTTATAGAAAGTTTTGTTCTAATTTTTATGTGTTTAAAGTAGTAAGTGCGAGGAGAGTAACGAAATCATACTAATGTTATCCCCCATCTTAGGAGATGAATTGTTAAAAATTGCTTTTTAGAGTTCAGTTAAGTCAGTTACGGAATCTTTGTGTAGAATTTCGTACTTCTAGACCAGATAGTAAGGGATTTTTTTTCAACTAACCTTCAAACTCCGTTTCAATCTCTAAGGAACTACATTATCCAAAAATCGCTTTATGCAGCTAATAAACTGATGACATTTAATAGACCCATTTTTGGTAGTAATGTTTATACAGATCATATCAAATAAACTTTCAGTCACGTGATTAGGCTTTACCGGCACAGCGTTGGCAACTTTTGTATATTTTCTTTTAATCAAAAAATTATAAATATAGCAGGTTTAGTCGTGACTGACTAAGTTAAGAAAAAACTCAAAATTTAAGTGAGGATGCAGTCCATAATCACCACACAGGCTAATAAAACTACTTTTTCAAATTTGTCAAGCTTTCGATAATTTTATTCCCATCATCAGGACAGTTTGACTGAGTCAGTTAGCAAAAACAACATCCTCAGCACATTGGCATAGCATAGCATCTTACGACAGAGTCACTGTTTGATCGAGCTCGAAACAACAATTTAGAAATTAGTCTTATATTTTTTTTAATTAGTAAATTTAAAAAAAAATGTTTTTTGTTTAAAGAAAAGTAATGTCGTTGGATATGTATTTTAATATTTTAGAAAGGAAATGTCCTTGTATTCCAATGTCATTTGATGCTAGTGTTAAGGCCTTTTCGTGCAGAGTATGTTGTTTTTGCTAATTGGCTCAGTTAAACTGTCCTGATGATGGGAATACAATTGTCGAAAGCATGACAAATTTGAAAAAGTAGTTTTATTAGCCTCTGTGGTGATTATTGCATCCTCAGTTAAATTTTGAGTTTTTTCTTTATTATAAATATATGTAGAATGTACCGTATGATCGAATAAAAACGGCGTCAGCGATGGCTATGAAATGACGATTGTTTCCCATATAATTTTACATATAAGATCATACGGTAGAATGTTTAGGAGGGGAGTTAATCACAGCGACCTTACAGATCAATTGTGTTCCACTTTCTTGAGTTATAACGAGCTACAACTCATCATACAGTCTCAGGGCTTTAACAATAGCCAGTATCTGAGACGGCTCTACAGAAGCCAGCTCTCCATCGACATCAGCTGTACCAAAGTTCATGGCACGAACGGTCGTCGTCTCGGCGCACTCCGTGATAAGGTGTTCTGGTGTTTCCCCATTTTCCCACAGAATCTCCATTCGCCGTTGTTTCAGCTTCAGCCTACTGAGGTGTTCGTTGAGGAGACAGTGTCCCGTTAGAAACCCCGTGACAATCCGACGATTGTTTTGTTCTGGTCCAGTTAGTGGAGTGTTCGCTCTTTTTCTAGCTAGATCATTTGCTTTTTCATTGCCTTCTATCCCTTGGTGAGCAGGCATCCAGAATAGGTAGTTGGTAGGAGGACTTTATTTTCTTTGCCTAATTTATTGAGCTTCTCTACGCATTCTTTGACCAACTTCGAATTGATGGTTTGTTCTTCACCATTTGTACTGGTTAGGCAACTGGATACATGTTGAAGTAGATCACCATCGGGGAGAAAAACTATATACCTACTGTCTGGAAATTGTTAATTCACGGGCATTTTACCCAGAAAAGACGGGAGAATAATCTAAACACATTAGTATGTCTGGTTCTTTCGTTTATCTTTTCAGAAACAACTTTATTAAAGAAATTCAAATAAGAACGACAATAACTAAACACTATGTTGCTCTAATAATCTTTCCGAATATTTCACTAAGATTTCGTATTACATTTTGAGAGTGTCGTCCATTTTTATACGAAAAAGACGTAATAACGCCAAGAGAATAACACAATTCTCCTTTATAATATTCGTTGTATGTGCTAAAATAAGTCGTAAAAATCCCATTTTCAGAAAATGGAGTCGTATCGTCTGGATATTTCGCATTTATTGCTCCATTTATCTTCAATCTTTGTGAAGTAATACGAAAATGAACCAGCGTGAACACGAAACGAGATATTTGTCACAAACGGTTATGACTCTAAGTGCCTTATTATATGATTTTTGATATAAAAATAAGATCGAGCCGTTTTACGATTATATACCTTTCTCTACGAAGATTTGCGAATTTTATGCCAGATTATAATCGTAAACATTTTTCGATAGCGCATTCTACATTTAAACGGAGTATCGCCGCTATATCTTCAATTATGCTATATAAAGGAGTACAGCGTTAAAGCTAAAGGTAATGGTTTAAAAATAACTTCAGCTAATTTGTACAATATCCTATGAACCTGTCTTATATACTATACATATACTATGCATCATCAACCGGAGTTAACGAACAAGACCTACGTTTCATATCAATGGAATCCCAATAAACAATATCAGATATGCCGATGATACGGTTGTAATAGCCAACGATATACAAGAACTGCAAAACATTATAGATTCCGTAGTCCACTATAGTGAGATGTTTGGACTGCATCTCAATGTCTTCAAGACCAAACTGGTCTTTTCTAAGACTCCAATAAAGTATTTAGGCGCTAACATCAATAGTCAGTGCGACCCGAAAAGAGAAATATTTTGAAGAATTGAGCAAGCGAGAAAAATCTTCGTGAGTATGAAACCATTTTTTACAAGACGAGACCTCAGTGCGGAACTCAGAACTCGAATGGCCAGATGCTACGCCTTCTCTCTGTTACTCTATGGATGTGAGAGCTGGACACTGGATGCACAGACCGAAAAGAGAATAGAAGCCTTCGAAATGTATGT